GTGTCTGGAGAGAGCAGCCAGGATGAGCTGCTCCATCACTTTCCCGGGGATGGAGGTGAGGCTCACCGGCCTGTAGTTACTCGGGTCCTCCTTCTTGCCTTTTTTGAAGACCGGATGACTAAAATGTCTTCAAAATAGTTACGAAGAGTGAACCTCTGTTGTCACTGATGTAGCTCCTTGTTTATTTTTCATGTTCAGAGTCAAAGGTCACTAAAATCCTGGGAGAAGGCCTTCTCCCTGTAATTATCGTAAAACCGAGGTCAGATCTCACTGAGCTATAAAGAAATAGTCCAGGTCATAGACACAGCTGGAGAGAATATTCCTCATCTTGCAGTAACTTTATTACTTTTTCTAGTGATYTCAACCTGATCTCAGCTTAGAGTTCACAGTTATTTGAATAAAGTGATGCACTTATTAAAATGATTTAGCAAACAAAACTGTATACCAATATCCAAGGAATACATGTTCACACTGAATATCACCTTTAACTTGACAGAGTAGGAAACAACTGAATGTGGATGGGTCAGTTTGGCTCACATATATATTTCAAAAATTGTTGCAAGGTTATTGCAACCTTCTGTGAGCCCTCTGGGTCTTGGGATTAAAATTTTCCACCGATTAAGCTACAGTGCAACAAACAGCTAGTCCAGAGGTCAGCAGCACATRGCATCTCAAAGCCTCGGGAACTGGCATACTCCAAGGACATGACAGGGTGCAGTTTTCACAAGCAGAAGCAAACAGCACTATTAATCCCACAGAAGTTCAACACTTTACATAAGAGCCTGCATCCAGGAATTTGTGGTGGAGTTTGTTATAAAGTGCTTCTTAAAGACAGGAATTCATATTGGCCACCCTTGCATATTGATCTCTCCTTTAGATTTGGTCAAACCAAGAATATCCCTGAGTTATCAATAAAAGCAGGCTTTTCAACAACAACCAAAAAAATACAAATAAATAGGTAGCATTTATTCATTGTCAGTGAGAAGAATTATTAACTTGCTTAAAAGCTTTAAAATACCACAAAAGGGCAGTAGCTGTAAAGACCAAAAGCTCAAGCCCTAAGAAGTACAAAAGTTGCCCCAAAGAAGTCTGTGGTTACATCAAACCTTCAGCTGTACTGGTCTGTGAAGCGAAAGGCTTTAGGTTCCGAACTTAGGCAGCGGATGTTCTGCAGCTGTTTCGCTCTTCGGGCTTCTAACCGGAGCTGCCTTACTCGCTCTTTAGCTGCCAGCTCTTCGGCTCGTTTTTCTTCTCTCTTTCTTTTTAGCCATCTGTGRAAGAGGGGAAAAAAGACTAGAAATCCTGACAGTGAAACACAAACCTTTTATCTCGTCCTTTCAAAGGACACCAGTCTCAATTCTGCTAACGATCCAACCAGATGACGAGCAGAATCACTGTGTCCTGAGGGATACAGCCTATATGCTAAGGCTGAGCCAGCCTAAGAACCTTTCCATCCCCCAAATCCTGGTTTTGTACCCACCTTTCCCTCCCACTTTTGTTGAGCTGCAGACTTGAGAAAAGCAAACACGGTGTCAGATTAGTTTTTTTGTGTGCTGAATGAACTGAATCAGCGCAATTCTTCTCTGGAAAAGGCAAAAATGGATAGGAGAGCGGCCCCCCTTTCCAGCTAAAATCCATTAGGTCGGCTAAAACCTTGGCAAGTAATTTGCACCAAGCAATTATGTGTTTCCTAGAGTGTAAGCTTATGAGGGTATATTCAAACAGAAAGTACGGGTCTCAGCACTGTAAAATGACTACATTCTAAGTTGATTCTGATTGTTTAAGTTGATGATSGACTACACAATATTCAAGTAGTCTGGTTCCCTAAGAGGGACCATACTCACTCTTTAAAGGCTCTGTTGCATTCCTCTGTTCTTGGAAAAAAGGTCATGCCCTCCGCTTGGCGTCTCAAAAATTCTAACTGTTTTTCTTTTATGTGTTCTCGGTGCTTTTTTTTAAGCCATAACTTGAAGGCTTCTTCTGGATTCCTGCTACTCTCCTATTCAAATAAAAGACATTCACAAGACTTAGCATTAAGTGACCTTTTTATCATTTTTTTGAACTTCCCTGACATCTCCTGTCCACAAGTGGGAAATGTGCTTTATAAGCAAACCAAAGCATATGTTAAGTCTATCATGGAATGTATACGTGAGCAAGCGTTYAAAGCAGTTTGGAAAAAAAAAATATTGAATTCAGTTCTTTGACGCCATCTCTGCAAGACCCAGGAATGACAGAATAGTGTGTCTGAATCTTAAGCATCTGGGCACACGCATCAACTCGCCTGCCAACCAGCTCTGAGGGTAAGGAACAGACTTCCCAGGGCTCCCCTGCTCCTTGTTCACTCCAGGGAGCAACAAAGTCATTCTCCTACTGGCAGACAGCAACACTGTGTCTTCTACAAGYGACGTTACAGCTCTTAAGCTCATGTATATAACTTGTATGACACAAGCCATTCTGCCAGGCAGAACAACCCTGAACATGGAAAGTCACCTAACTTCAGCTTCAAGAATATAACAAAAAATATTTCTCATCAGTGTGAATTTTCATATGCTTATCTGAGCACTTGGTCTAGGAATTTGTTTTGTTTTCTGTTTGGTTAACCAGAGTCCTATAAATCACACTTCTACATATGAGAGCTCTTACTTTGCTGTTCAAGTCCTCTAGCTCCTTTGCACGCCGAATTCGCTTTTCCTCTTGTACTTGTTCTTTCTTCTTYTGTAACCAAGCTCTAAAGACCATCTCATTCTCTCTTTTCTTCTGTTCTTCTTGTTCTCTTTTCCGCTCTTCTTCCTTGAATGAGTGAATAAAAATTCTATTTTTTGAAATAATCTACACAGGCCTTCAACTGTCACAATGGCAGTGAGTTGTTTGAACTTTACCTGACACGTTAAAAAAGAAAAAAAAAAAAGAGGCAAGTGAAACAGAAATATTCAAAGAATGCATCAAGTTGATGGTACCTGCAGGAAAAAAMTGGGAAAAAAGCTAGCCTGAGCATTTCCCCAGTTTAGGTTATAGTCAGATGTTTTGAGTTCCGACTTGTGTGTGTGTGTGTGTGTGTGTGTGTGTGTGCGCGCACGTGCACGCATGCGTGTGATTACCTCCATTTCCATGATTCATCTCACCTCTCAGACATTGAGGCAGAAACACATCAAGACTTTAAAATAATATCCATCCAACAGCTCTGAATGGCTTAAAATAGTTTAAACCAACCCATTCTAAAAATAGGAAACAATATGGGCTTGCAAAACCACTAAACCCTACAGGATTTTCAGCTATCTATGGACTGCAGGCATGAGGTTATAGCTAGTTCTAACAAGGTTATGAATAGGAATTATTTTTTGAATGTGAAGTCATAGTTGGGGAGGCACTAATAGCTTAATGCTTTCCTCAGACTTAMAAAATGCATCTAGTTGCACAAAATTGAGAAAAACTTTGCAAGTATTAATCACATTTTGACTAATGACAGGTGTTTACGTATGGATGAAAAGACTCTAAATGATACTTCACAAAGATATCAAAATATTTTAACAAGTTTTGATTCTCCCTGGCACAAAAACTATAACCCCCATTAATTTCAACACAGAGAAATCTACTCGTCTCTCAAAGAGATGATGCTCCTCTCACCTACATATAACTTGCAGAATGTATTCTCAAAATTTACAGTTTTTACTCTACTGGGGAGAAAATAAAGCTTAAAAAAAAGCCTCCTTCCTGAATGAATATGCAGGAATAGACTTTCCTGATGTGACTGCTATTCTTTTCACATGGAGTTTCTGAATTGATTAAAATTTTGCTTTTAAAACCAGTAGAAAATCTTCAGTATCTTAAGGAGCAGAACAAGTCACAGCAATCCTACGGTCAGCACAACCCTGCTGCGTGGCAGTGTCGGCAGCAGACATGCAGTGTCACGTGCGAGCAGTGGGTCCATGATGGGGCTTACACAGCAGGAGCAACAAGTACAGTATGGCAGAGGGTGGCATATTTATGAAGGACATGTTCCATATTACATAAACACCTTTAACACAGGGCTCTGTGAAACAAAGTGTGACCTGCCCGATCCCTCTGTATCCTCACCTCTTTCCTCAGTTTCTCCTTCCTTTGCTCCAGCTGCTTCCGGAGCTCTTTTTGCCTGGGAGAAAGGCAGTAAGTGGAACCTCTTGTAGGCGCGTTTGCAGACTGTGCTCTCTGGGGAGTCTTACGTTTTCCCAGATTTCTCGCAGACCCGATGGCAGAATTTGGACGACACTTAGGCTTGGAAGGAGGTTTAGGGAAGTACACACACTCCTCTTCAGCAGCAGAGAAAGACTGTACTCCTGCTCCTGCTCCAGGTGCTTCCTTCGTTCGAGCGACAGTGCCACAAGAACTCTGGTGTGAAGATTTGGAAGTTGTATGTTGAGTCTCGATATCAGTGAAAGAAACACTTATTGGGGGCAAAAAGCCCTGGCTTTCAATATCACGTAAACTCAACAGTTCAAACTTTCCATCTTTTTCCACTAGGATCTTCCCATCCTTCTGTTCCTCATCCTTGCCACTATGTGGTGAAAGCACTGTGCTTTCCTGTCCCRCAGCATTAGAAATATGGAGCTGAGAGAGCCTACTTGAAACATCGTCTCCTCCTGCAAGATCAGCTTTATAAACATCTGCGTCTTCTAGAGGAGGAACCTCTAGATCTACCAATGTGTCCTTAAATTTTAATTTTCGTTCTCTATTCTCATCCACAGGAGCCTGATTCTCCAGCAGTTTGTTGGCTTCTTCAATCTTTCCCAAGATGTAGCGCTTTATTTCTTCATCTTCTTCCTCATCTAGGTCCTTTTCATCTTCCAGTTTGGACTCCTGGATAGAGCACTCACTGTCGGAGTCAGATACAGGCTCCTCGTCTTTAGCATCAGACACGGATACCAAAGGTTCTTCATTGGGCAGACTCACTTTCACATCTGTGTTTGTYCCAGAATGCTGATCTGTATTTTCTTCTCTTTCCTCACTGTATTCCCCTTCCTCAAAGTCCTCCACAACTTTATCACTAATTGTATCAATTTCCTCTGCATTTTGTTCAGGATTCTAAAAAAAATAAAATAAAATAAAAATAACTCTCCCAGTCTATTCTCCCAAMAAACCGTGCCATCAGAGAAGAAGACAGGAGAGCACAAGAGTGAAAGAACAGCACAACTGATTTTACTAATGCTTAAATACCCTATCAAATACCATTACTACCACAACCAATGGCCTTTTTGGCATTAATAGCTCTTTTGCGGTTTCTCCATATTCCCATCTACAAAGTTTAACAAACTACAGCTTGAGCAGTAAAGTCACCTATGACAACAGAAAAAGAGTAATGTGAAGTGCACAAACACTTAAAGGAACCCACACAAAAAGCAGAAGTATTTTTGAACCAAATATATTCTTTCCAATGAACATTGAATTTGCTGATTTAAGACAACAATAATCAAAGTAACTCGTTCACTGAACTATTTTTCACTATAGTTCCAATAACCCTTCGTGATGAAATTTAGTGACTGTCCATATATATTTCAAGCCACACTGCAAATCACATTGAATTCTATGCTTACAAATCTAAGTATCAATCTGTTGATCTTCCAAGTGAAATAAATATCATTTAATTTGACAATACCTCTCTTTCTGCAGGGTTTTCTTTTTCTTCTTCGTTAATTAGCMACTCAAGGTCTTTTTCAAAGTCATCTTCATACTCTACACTTTCTGTTATATCTTCCACATCTGCTGGATCATCTTGGTCTCTCCTTTCACTCATTTTGGCGATGTGTTAAAATACTACTACAAAAGAAAAAGGCACATTTAAAATGTCAGTGACATACAAAAATACAGCACTGCTATCTGTCACAACACCCACACAAAACCTGAGGGCAGTAGCAATACGACTATTTAGATAACGCCACAGCACCTCTGAATTAAGGCTCATAAATGGTTTAAAAACATAAACGGTTTTTGCCTTTCCCACTCCAAGCTCCTAAGTGGATATCTGAGACAAAGCAAATCCATATCATTTRAAGTTAAGACTAGAACTTGTGATCTCATGACTTGTAATCCTGTACTTCATTCTTCTATGTTTATTAGAATTACCAAAAGCTTCCATTACTCTCAGCCCTGTTTTCCACTGTTGCTTTATGTTTGCCTGATTCACCTTCCCCTAAACAAATCACAACTTGTGCAGAGCCATATTACAAAGTCGTGCAATGCACAGGCCCTAGAAGATCCCTGCTGTAGCTTATGTTATGTCAGACTAGGAGAAAATTTCCCATCATACTAGAATGAGAAGACTTTCATTAGACTCATGAAAGAGCTGTCCTGCTAGAGTCACTCAACTTTTACAAGCAGCTGGCTTTCAAACCGTACCACTTGCACCAATATTAGAAAAGAAAAAGGAAAGAAGTTTCACACAGAAACCAGTTAAGACTGCTGGAAAAAGTCATCAGTTGCAGTTTGAAATTCCAAAGAGGACTACAGTGAGAAATAGTTAGCATTCTGTTAATCAGTCTGGATACAGTCATATCCATGACAGAACTGAAGAGTCACTATTAAAAAAAGGGAGTATTTTCAGTAATGTTTGGACTGGCCAGCACACAGGTACCAATAGCTTCTGAAAAGCTGCTTAAATGCCAGTGCCTGGAGATYCAGGCTGACTGCCTGGCCTAACGCCCTCTGCCCACTTCTTCCAACTGAGGGCATCTCTCTGCATCTAAAGGCAAGAAAGGGTTAAAGACATGAGGAGAGGCACTGACTACATAGCCGATGCTGCCCTTTTTGCAGCTTTACCACACATCACTCCTTCCCTGTTTTGTTCATCACTGTTTGCAGAAGCAACATAAAAGTAAGAAATGTGGATTATTCAGAAGTCCCTCTTCTCTTTGTATCTTCTGCTGTATGTGGGGATTTGCTACCTCTCAGTGTCTCTCCTACAGAATAAATCTGTCTCATTTACAGTGCACTAGAAGATCACTCCCTCTATGAACATCAGCATATGGCAACATAATATGGGATCTAAAGATTAGCTCTGACCCAGGATGGCCCARAACATCCAGCAATGGCTGTTGCTCCTTATGTCTTCACTGTCTGATCCACCCCGCCATTGCAGAAAAGAGTGGCTGTATTTGGACATCCCACCTGTCTAAGCATTTTGCATCGTTGGAATAAAAAAATCTTTTTTTAAATCACTATTTTGTTCCACAAAAGTGGACATTTCTCCATCTTCCTAACTCCCAGCTCCTTTTTAGCCACCACTTGCCACAGTAGTCATCTATTCACAGTAGGTCTCTCTAATGCTAAATGTCC